TCATCAGCACTTAGCCTCCTGAGGATGCTTCTGCATCACTGCCTCAGTATCCCAGGCTGTGAAGCATCTCACAGTGGCCCATTTGGCCTGGTTTCAAAATGTCATAGATACTCGACTTTTTGGTACTTCTCTCTCCCATTACACTATGTAGATAGCCTGTCTGCCCAATGCAGGGCCCAGGCTTCTGTTACAGGGAGAGACATGAAAGAATTGGGCAAAGCAACACTGAGCTCTAATCGCCACCCTCCATGTGAGACCCTTGTCCTCTGTGTCTGCATCTCCGGCCAAGACAAGCTCAGGTTGTAAACACTGATGGAGATCTAGTCAGGCCTCTACATGTGCTAAGAATGAGCAGAAAGTTTATGGTCCAAAACCCAGCAAAACAGGGTTTTCGTGATGCATATCCTTTGAGGTGGGCTGAAGAGGTTTCATTCACAGCCAGGATGGTATAAAATGGAAAACAAATCACAAACAAGGCAAACTCACCCAGAAATACACATTTCGGTGTTCAAAATCTAACTCTGAGTGGATGAATGAGGGGATGATGGTTAACAGGAATATGCTCTTCCTACTGCCAGGGTACTATAAAAACTTCTGGAGCGTGAAGGGTAAGTGACCTCCTGGTGAGGCTTGGACTGTAGACCTGGTCTCTGACAAAGCATCAAATGGTGGTGTGGTTAACTGAGCCCCCTCCTGCATCCCTCAGCGACTGACAGGACAACGTGGTTCAGAGAGAGAGAGGAAAAGTGAGCGCACACACGTGTGTGAATACAACAATAACAATGTCCCACACAGTGCCAATTCTCCTTTAGAGCTCTTCAGCTGGTGTGTGCTGAAGGAGGTACTACTTCAAATTCAAAGGGGGTCACTTGTATTTTACTTGTTTAACTCTGCTGTGTTGCAAAATCTGCTGCCCGGATCGCCAAATGCCACCCTCAGACTGCTGCCCTGCAATGAGCTGGCCATAACCATCATCCTTACGTGTCTCTGCCCCAGCTCCACTTGGGAAATAAAACTCTACTGAGCATGTTTCATCTAACATTTTATTGCCTTCATATACTTAACCTTAATGCTTATAACATTTCAATCAGGTCTGACAATACTAATGATGAAAATCTCTTTAAATGCTATCATTATTTATTGTTGCATTACTCCTAGGCAGGTATCTCAACGGGGTTGATAAACTGCTTGCATAATATGCAGCTTTCAGTTAAAATGTTGAATGACTAAGATTTTTATTTTAAACCACTGCCATAAAACGTCACTGAAAATGCCCTGAAGATTATAATCAGAACATATTTTCTTCCTAAAATATTTTAGTCATCAGAGGCAAGTTTACCTTATATGAATATGGAAGCAATTTGGGGCTTGTTCTGTTTTCTTTGAATCCTAACTCTGCAATGTGTTGATGTTTTCCTGTGCATCTTCATTTTTTAAAATGTAATCAAAGTACAATGTAACCATATTATTTAATAATAACATAGATTACAAGGAATAAATTATATTTATAATTGTGTCAAGCTTGTTGATAATTGTCAGAAAGCTGTAACGACTGAAACTGTCGCTGTCTTTAACTTCCAGGTCACATTGATTACAATTTAATATCACTCCTCCTGCTTGTTTTCTAAACTGACCCCTTAGGTGACAATGGATCATTTGAGGGTTATTCTGGCTGTGGCTCCTGTTGGCATGAAGGTTAACAGAGAAATTACATCTTATTATTAGAATAAATGAGTAGTAAGAAATGTTTGAGATGGTTCTAAGACAAGCATGGCATTATACTGCACCATAAGAGGTAACTGCAGTTGAGGCTGGTTGAGAATTCCTATTTCAGGCTCTCATGCTCTGCAGAACTTCCACTATCTGAGCCTGAAATCCATGGTTAGTAAGGCTGAGGTCTGGGTTATATCAGTTTGTAAAATTTGAACAAAAGTTGATGTGATATACCTGAGAAGGGTAAAGAATAAACCTGGTGCCAATTTTAAGAAAAAAATAATAATTAGGACTTACATTATGACCCCATTATTAATTTTACCAGGACTGTAATATTTGATGTACTAATACAGAGTGACCAACAGTGTCAGGCCCAAAGACTCTGCTGTCCTGCCTGAGCCCTGACACGGGTAAAAACTGAAGACTTAAATATAGCAGGGAAGGGGGGAGATATCAACAAATAAATAAATAACAATCAAAGGCTCCTGCTTTGATCTGTCACTGCTCTGAACATTGAAACACCATACCCATGATACACAAAGCGGAACAGCAAGCGAAGCACCAGGTAAGAACAGCCTGGAAACTCCTCAATGGTGGGCAAGGTGGGCTGGACAATTAGCCCTCTCTGAGTGGTGGGACAAAGCCTGGGTAGGGTGTGTGTGATGAGCTGCACACCCGCTGCCCAAATCCCCCTCGTTAGGGTCAGGGCAAGGTTTGTGTGACACTTCAGTCCCACGGGAAGCCTGTGAAAGGGGTAACAAGCAGGGATCCTCTCAAAATCCCTGCCGGGGAGGATGTCGGTAACGCCATCTGGGTGTCTGCCTTGCCTGAAACTGCGGGGAGTGATGTGCCACCTTTCATCAGCATCACGGACATGTTCTGCAGGGAAAGCACAGGCGCCTCCGTGCCATTACCTGGTCCCGGGGTCAGGGCTCCCCGGCCGCTGCCCGCCCCAGGACCCCCCTCACCTGGGGTTTATAAAAACACCCGGCCCCGAAGCGCAGCAGCGGCATAAACCAGATTAGCCTCTCGGGGACCGTCCAGCTCCCGGGCAGATGCCGGCGGCGGGATTAGGCCAGGCTTCCCCCGATTTATTTTCGCCCCTCGCTTTTCACTTACCCGGTCGCTAACCCGCACCTCGCCACAACCCCGCCCGGCCCCTGCTACCCCGGCGCCGCTCCGCCGGGCCC